GGCCGCGTATCATAATACCGATGATATCACCAGATAGAGGACACTTTAACGGACACGACAGTATCAATATCATGTACCTGGCGGATAAGAAAGGGGGGATAAAGTCAGCCATAATTAGTGCGCGCGCCCTCAAAAATCTATTGCTGGCCGATTTGCGGCAAAATACGGCCGCGTAACATAATACCGATGATGTCACCAGATAGAGGAGACTTTAACGGACACGACAGTATCAATATCATGTACCTGGGGGATAAGAAAGGGTGGGTAAAGTCAGCAATAAGTAGAGCGCGCGCCCGGAAAAATCTATTGCGGGCCGATTTGCGGCAAAATACGGCCGCGTATCATAATACCGATGATATCACCAGATAGAGGACACTTTAACGGACACGACAGTATCAATATCATGTACCTAGGGGATAAGAAAAGGGGGGGGGAAAAGTCAGCAAAAAGTAGAGCGCGCGCCCGAAAAAATCTATTGCCGGCCGTTTTGCGGTAAAATACGACCGCGTAACATGAAAACGATGATGTCACCAGATAGAGGACACTTAAACGGACACGACAGTATCAATATCATGTACCTGGGGGATAAGAAAGGGGGGGGAAAGTCAGCCAAAAGTAGTGGGTGCACCCGAAAAAATCTATTGCCGGCCGTTTTCGGGTGCGCGCACTACTTATAGCTGACTTTACCCCCCCTTTCTTATCCCCCAGGTACATGATATTGATACTGTCGTGTCCGTTAAAGTCTTCTCTATTTGATGACTATATCGGTTTCATGTTACGCGGTCGTATTTTACCGCAAGACGGCCGGCAATAGATTTTTTCGGGCGCACCCACTACTTATGGCTGACTTTACCCCCCCTTTCTTATCCCCCAGGTACATGATATTGATACTGTCGTGTCCGTTAAAGTCTTCTCTATTTGATGACTATATCGGTTTCATGTTACGCGGTCGTATTTTACCGCAAGACGGCCGGCAATAGATTTTTTCGGGCGCACCCACTACTTATGGCTGACTTTACCCCCCCTTTCTTATCCCCCAGGTACATGATATTGATACTGTAGTGTCCGTTTAAGTGTCCTCTATCTGGTGACATCATCGTTTTCATGTTACGCGGTCATATTTTACCGCAAAACGGCCGGCAACAGATTTTTTCGGGCGCGCGCTCTACTTTTTGCTGACTTTCCCCCCCCTTTTCTTATCCCCTAGGTACATGATATTGATACTGTCGTGTCCGTTAAAGTGTCCTATATCTGGTGACATCATTGGTTTCAAGTTACGCGGCCGTATTTTGCCGCAAATCGGCCCGCAATAGATTTTTCCGGGCGCGCGCTCTACTTATTGCTGACTTTACCCCCCCTTTCTTATCCCACAGGTACATGATATTGATACTGTTGTGTCCGTTAAAGTCTCCTCTATCTGATGACATTATCGGTTTCATGTTACGCGGTCGTATTTTGCCGAATAACGGCCGGCAATAGATTTTTTCGGGCGCGCGCACTACTTATTGCTGACTTTACCCCCCCTTTCTTATCCCCCAGGTACATGATATTGATACTGTCGTGTCCGTTAATGTGTCCTCTATCTGGTGACATCATCGGTTTAATGTTACGCGGCCGTATTTTGCCGCAAGACGGCTGGCAATAGATTTTTTCGGGTGCACCCACTACTTATGGCTGACTTTACCCCCCCTTTCTTATCCCCCAGGTACATGATATTGATACTGTCGTGTCCGTTAAAGTCTCCTCTATTTGATGACTACCGGTATATCGGTTTTATGTTACGCGGTTGTATTTTACCGCAAGACGGCCGGCAATAGATTTTTTCGGGCGCACCCACTACTTATGGCTGACTTTACCCCCCCTTTCTTATCCCCCAGGTACATGATATTGATACTGTAGTGTCCGTTTAAGTGTCCTCTATCTGGTGACATTATCGTTTTCATGTTACGCGGTCATATTTTACCGCAAAACGGCCGGCAACAGATTTTTTCGGGCGCGCGCTCTACTTTTTGCTGACTTTTCCCCCCCTTTTCTTATCCCCTAGGTACATGATATTGATACTGTCGTGTCCGTTAAAGTGTCCTATATCTGGTGACATCATTGGTTTCAAGTTACGCGGCCGTATTTTGCCGAATAACGGCCGGCAATAGATTTTTTCGGGCGCGCGCACTACTTATTGCTGACTTTACCCCCCCTTTCTTATCCCCCAGGTACATGATATTGATACTGTCGTGTCCGTTAAAGTGTCCTATATCTGGTGACATCATTGGTTTCAAGTTACGCGGCCGTATTTTGCCGCAAAACGGCCGGCAACAGATTTTTTCGGGCGCGCGCTCTACTTTTTGCTGACTTTTCCCCCCCTTTTCTTATCCCCTAGGTACATGATATTGATACTGTTGTGTCCGTTAAAGTCTCCTCTATCTGATGACATTATCGGTTTCATGTTACGCGGTCGTATTTTGCCGAATAACGGCCGGCAATAGATTTTTTCGGGCGCGCGCACTACTTATTGCTGACTTTACCCCCCCTTTCTTATCCCCCAGGTACATGATATTGATACTGTCGTGTCCGTTAATGTGTCCTCTATCTGGTGACATCATTGGTTTAATGTTACGCGGCCGTATTTTGCCGCAAATCGGTCCGCAATAGATTTTTCCGGGCGCGCGCTCTACTTATTGCTGACTTTACCCCCCCTTTCTTATCCCCCAGGTACATGTTATTGATACTGTTGTGTCCGTTAAAGTGTCCTCTATCTGGTGACATCATCAGTAATATGTTACGGGCCTGTATTTTGCCGCAAAACGGCCAGCAATAGATTTTTTCGGGCGCGCGCACTACTTATGGCTGGAGTTATTGCCAGGTTCACACAAGTCACCACAATCCGTAAGCTTGGACAGGGGAATCACCATGGTTCTTCTGTCTGGACAGGTTTTCGCTAGTCAGGATAGTTCTAGGCCAATGTTTGCTTTGTGTCTTGTATTATTTTTCTGGAGTTCCTGTGTGCGGACTGGTGTTAAGTTATGGAGTAAATGAGTAATTAAACTATATTTTCTAGGACGTACAGTGATGTGATGGTAAGGATGCTAAGGCGGATGAAGTGTGGTTTGCAATGTTATTTTGGGTCCAATCTAACTTAAGTATTGTTCTTATGGCCTTTTCTGTAAGATCATTATTCGTTAGAGGTTTTGGGCAGATGTGGAACCCCATGCTGCAATTCCATTTCTCAAGTGTGAAGCGTAGATGGAGTGGTAGGCTAGCATTGTGGTGTCCAGATCTAACTTATTGGTGGTGTTGCAGTTTCTACAGAGTAGGGATGTTGCGATACTATCGATACCAGTAGGTATCGATACTTTTATTGCGATACCGCTGGTATCGTATCGGTATCGGTTGTTCCGATATTTACTTGGTATCGATACCAAGAGGCCAGTATCGTATCGTAAGTATCGGAAGGTAATTTCTGACAAATCTGAGTAAAATTGCCACGCTCGTGCCTTCTGCGGCTATTTTCCAAGGCTAGAGCAACAATGACCCAAAAAAGAAACAAACTTTAACCCAATTAATTTTTTTTTTATCTAGCTTGTCTGATATGTGGTTTGAGTAAATTATGATTCACTATTCATTCATAGCATAGCACTTTACATAACTAAAACCATTGACTATATATACCGGGTTTGGGTGCAGAGTTATTTTTATTACAAGTCAATGTTAGCAACGTTGTGTTAGGCAAATAAAATGAAACCGTCGACTATTTAACATCAAATAAATAAACTAAAAAGATGGCACTTAAAGTTATTTAACAAAATAAACGTTTTTTTATTTAGGCTGATGGTACACACGAATGTGTTACGTTGGTAATTCATTGTCTATTGAAAAGATAAATTATATAGGCATAGAACATAAGGTAAGATTAGGCCTACTTGAACTTTTACTTTAAGGTAAAATTGAAAACAAAGGTTAGCTATGTTTGGTTAATTTTATCGTTTTACATATTTAGGAAGTTTTTAGCAGCTTGAATTCGAATCCTATATTGGCTGCACTGTACTGAAATCAGAACATGACGTCACTGGTATCGAATGGATACGATACTGACGGTATCGATACTTTAGTTCCGATACTGAGCCGGTATCGATACTTTTTTGCGATATGGTATCGATACCAAATATCGGAAAGACAGTGGTATCGCAACATCCCTACTACAGAGTAAGTTACAGTACCGGTACCTACCAAGAGTGCATTAAGTTAGACAGTTTTTAACCTAGGTAAGTTAATCTATATGGATCTGTCAATTTGGAAAACTACATTTTGAGTGATCTAAGTTGAGCCCAGGTTTGTACACTAAGAGGTAATACTTATTGTTTTATAGGCCTATACATTGAAATTGCATTCTTTTCCTGTATGACTTTTATTTTTGACATTTGTGACTTTTGTCTATGCATTGTTTATATATGTTTATGGACAATAAATGATTTGATTTGACTTAGATTTCCATCAATGTAACTTAGATAGATTCCATGGATTTTTTTTAGTTGATTGTGGGAATGCTCAGTCTGGTTGAATCATCTCTGTTCTTTTATTGTTATTTATTCGGAAATTAATATGCACTGTTTTATTCTTAATTATGAGGTTCATAATTTTCACAGGTTGTTTTCTATCCATTGTTATTTGGTTAAGTTAACATTGTCTGCTTTACGATTTGTTGGAACAACAATGGTGGTATCATTGGCAAAGTATTGCATTTTAGGTTATTGTTGAGATTGGAGGGAAAGCTATGTAGGCCTATTAAATGAAGAGGAGGGGGGCCAACATAGATCCCTGGGGAATTCAACTTGATATGATCTGGTGGTAAAATTGTGTTTTGGCGTTGGCTTTCAATTTATACATATTGCCGTCTGCCTTTTTTAGATAAATTTTGACCCATTCCAAGGTTTCGCCTTGGATATTTATTTACACTGATTAATTTTGTTCTGAGGATGTTCCCAGATATCGGTGATGTGAGTGACTAATTTTGAGATTGCGGTAGTGATGTTAAGGGTCTTCCTGAAGCCGTGTTGCATAAGTTATGGAGAGGAGGTTTTTGGAGCCGAGGTGCGTGATTGGTTATACCGGTACATTACTCTCTCTAGGAGTTTGGTGATGATCGGCAGATTATAAATGGGTCTGTAATTGTTTAGGTCTCTAGCTTGGCCTTTTTAATTATTGGATAAATTTGTTCAATTATGAGTTTATTTGGGATTTTGGCCTGTATTATTGACTTATTTATTATATAGGCCTATCTAACTGTCTACAACAGACTGCATTAGGCTACATAAAGAAAGAGAATATTTTTACCAAATTTGCCTTTTTACTGTAGCTACATTAGAAGAATATTAGTCCCGGTAGACCTAATGTTTTATTTTATAGGTTTAGTCTTAGTTATAGTATTGACACCATTCCTATGATTATAAAATAAAGATTTTTTGATATTTAATTTGATTTGATATCAAGGACAATCAATGACCCTCACTTTTGTTTATGTTAAGCATATTGGATGGTAGGAACATTATATGATAGGCTATGTCAGATATGTGTAGCCTATATGTCAGATGTTTGCTATCCTCATAACTTCTCCTCTCAAAGTATTTTCCCCCAACTGAAGTAATTTTTGTTACCTGAAAGCACAAAAAATAAAAATGTATAATAATATATTTACACTTATACTGTTTACTCACAAGACGGTATACTTAAGATGGTAAGTGGTGATCAATTTTGATTGGAGACTCCAATCATCATCAGACCCAATAGGCGAATGGGGCCTAATGTAGGAACAAATTAACTGGCACTCTCGGAACCAATAATTAACCTTGACTTGTGAACTTTGGTTTGTACGTAAAGAACACATTTTCAGATTCCACATAGGCTACTAAACTCTGTACCAAATTAGATCTATTAAAAAAAAAAAAAGAACTTAGTAAATAGCCTATTAACTTAGAGGAAATAAAGGGTCTATCCATATCAAGTGATCCAACAGGGGTTGCTTGACCATTTTTAAAATAAATAATATTTTTATACTAGATACCTTTATCAATTCTGGGTTCAAAAGTGATTTTAAATTTTTTTTATCTATTTTGTTACTCCTATGGCGGCCATTTTTGTTTTGCGGAACACGCAAATTTTTGCTCATGTAAGGGTTTGCGTTAACTTGCACAACTCGGTAACCATGAACACTAGAGTGATGAAACAAAAAGCATTTTAATCTGGAAGAAACAGCCTAAATATTATGTTCTGTACATATTTATTGAAATGTGTATCAAAAACAGTTTTAAACCCATCTCAACATTTCATAAGAAAACGGAAAAATTTCAACTTTTGAAGGCGTATTACCATTGGAACGAATAAAATCTCAGACTTGATTTTTTTTGTGTGTGTAGCAACTCAGTAGAACTGTTTGTATTTCAAATATCAACCATGAGACTTAATTCCTTTAAAAGTTATCATTTTTCAAAAACTGAAATTTTTTGAAAAATTCAAATTTTGAGTCTCAATATCTTTGTTGAGACAAAGTTTAAAAATCTGAAATTTTTACCAAAAACCCCTCTTATGGTTGTTATACTGCTGTATGAATTTCATCTTTGAGATTTACTTTTAAGCTAAGTTACAGCATCATGAAAATCGCAAAAACCCCATAAGCTCGGCCAACGCGGCTAGTATTGTAGGTAGCTTAAAAATTAATTTATAGGTGTAGGTAATTATTTTATTTAATGTAAACTTACCTAACTTACTTTAAAGTAATGTATAGCCTTTTCTTGCAAATTTCTTGTCTTATGTGAAATTAAAAAAAAACTTTTTATCAGATTCATTCAGGTTTACACCTTTTTTTTCAATAGGCCTAAATATTTTGAACTCATTTATTAATTTATTGAACCACTTTCATTTTAATAAAGAATATTAGAAATTTCACATACAAAAGCTGTTTGAAAGACAAGTTCTTAAAGTATACAACTTTTTTTACTTGTTAGTGTTTTTTGTTCTACTTTGATCATGCTAATTAGGAAGTTTGGATGTTTCTTCATTCAGTTTGGGTTTGTCCTTCCAGTGGTTTTTGTCAGTTAAAAGAGATTTAATTTTCTCAAAACTTTGTTCATAGGCACCCAAGCTTGGTCTTTCTAATTTGTTTTAAAGGCGGTTGGTTGTTGGTCCTGCTGGATCTTTATTTTGATAACTGATGTCAATCACCTCTGCCACCCACCACTGTCATACACAAATGCAATAGAGTCTTTGGTATGAAGTGTAATTTTTACAGCTTTCAGTTGCTAGTGAGGTTACGAAGCACCTAACATTACTACTGTCCGGTACAGGAATAAAACAATGGAAGCTTTTTGTTCCAGTAATCTTTAAACAGTTCTCAAATCGGTCCAGGAGTTTGTTGTTGTGGTGTTGAGTGATTTCTTCATCTGTTATAAAAATGAATTATTTTGTTAAGTAAAACTGTGTTTTGTGACTCATTTACGACTTCCTGTAGGTACTGGAGACTGTAACAGTTCCCACAGGATATGAGTGATTTTATTTTTTTCAAAATACCACAATAAACACTTTAGTATTGATTTGTGTTATATAGGTTACGGTACATTAAATCTAAATGGAAAATAAATTTTAAGACCTCAATATAAATAGAATTAACTAAGTTTTATTTAAGTTAAATGATGAATAAAACTTAAAATTTAGCAGGATTTTATTTATTTTTAGTACCGTAGCACATATAGGCCTAATTTGTACTTTGGGTACAAAGTTAAAAATCTGTTTTGGATTTTTGAAATGTACATTAAGATAAGTTTACATTAAATAAAATAATTAATTACCTACAAACACCTATAAATTAATTTTTAAGCTACCTACAATACTAGCCGCGTTGGCCGAGCTTATGGGGTTTTTGCGATTTTCATGATACTGTAACTTAGCTTAAAAGTAAATCTCAAAGATGAAATTCATACAGCAGTATAACAACCATAAGAGGGGTTTTTGGTAAAAATTTCAGATTTTTAAACTTTGTCCCAAAAAAGATATTGAGACTCAAAATTTGAATTTTTCAAAAAATTTCAGTTTTTGAAAAATGATAACTTTTAAAGGAATTAGGTCTCATGGTTGATATTTGAAATACAAACAGTTCTACTGAGTTGCTACACACACAAAAAAAATCAAGTCTAAGATTTTATTCGTTCCAATGGTAATACGCCTTCAAAAGTTGAAATTTTTCCGTTTTCTTATGAAATGTTGAGATGGGTTTAAAACTGTTTTTGATACACATTTCAATAAATATGTACAGAACATAATATTTAGGCTGTTTCTTCCAGATTAAAATGCTTTTTGTTTCATCACTCTAGTGTTCATGGTTACCGAGTTGTGCAAGTTGAACCCAGAATTGATAGAGGTATCTAGGATAAAATTATTATTTATTTTAAAAATGGTCAAGCAACCAATTATTTTATTTCTGGATCACTTGATATGGATTGACCTTAAAACCTCTTTTAAACAAGTATGTGAAGGAGTTAATAGAACATTTTTTAGCTAGTTTAACCACTGTTTGATTTTACCAAGGCAAAATGTGGTTCGGATTCCACTATAAACTGTACCGTAGGTCCTTTGTTGCCATTAGCTGTATGGGCTAAATTAATAGCTGTGTCTAAGGAATATGTCGACCTTAGTCACTAACAAGACTGCAAGATCGCGCCACTAAAACTACTCTCATTACCACTACACTAACATACACTTACGGGAGCGATTCATAAACTCCAAATTTCACAAACTCCAACGCTTAAAATATTAAATGAACAGAGCGGTTCATAACCTCCAAATTTCATAAGCTCCAAATCTATAACATTCAAATAATCACTGTTTCACAATGTCCAAGTTTCACAAACTCCAACGTTTAAATATTAAATAAACAGAGCGGTTCATAACCTCCAAATTTCATAAGCTCCAAATCTATAACATTCAAATAATCACTGTTTCACAATGTCCAAATTTCACAAACTCCAACGTTAAGATACCAAATAAACAGTGCGGTTCATAATGTCCAAATTTCATAACCTCCAACGGTACAGTCTGAGCCAGAAGTCTCTACAGTGGTTGCCACAGTCAGATAGCAGGCACCGTTCGCCAGCGCTCAACTACAGTAGACTCTTGATAATTCAAAATTGGTGGGCCAAGCATATCAATTTGAATTATCAAGAGTTTTGAATTATCAAGAGTTCGATTTATCGGGAGAAAAATAAACCATTTGAATTACAGAGAGTTTGTTTGTTTAATACATACAAAGGTACAGCACGTTACAATAAAACATCATACTGTATTTTAGTACACTTTTAAACAATCAACGCTTATTTTTCAATTACTGTAGTTGTAAAAAAATCTGTTATTTAGCGCTATATATTTCGCCAATAGCTGAACTATCAGCTGTCGACAACTACGTTTGTGTAAGTAACTTAGACCAACTTAGAAAAACAAGTCAGCGAACTAACTCAGACTACTGCTCTAACTAAAAAAACATCAAAACGTCCAACACTAGCCTACCATGGGAACAGGATGTACTGTACTGTATAGTTTCCTGTTATAACAGGAAGAGATCACTTCGAATTATAGAGTGTTTTGCCGACTAAACTTCGAATTACTGCGTGACTTTGATTTATAGAGTGTTTTTTCGACGAAACTTCGAATTACAGCATGACTTCGAATTAAAGAGTGTTAACCGACGAAACTTCGAATTACTGAGTTACTTCGAATTATAGAGTGTTTTTTCGACGAAACTTCGAATTACTGCGTGTTACAAATTGACCTGCCCTCTATTTGGACTTTGAAATACCGAGTGTATCAAAATGCATGGTAAAATTTTGAAATATTGAGAGATTCTCTAGGGACTGAGCCTTCATTTTGAATTATCGAAAGTTTTGAATTATCAAGTGTTTGAATTACCAAGAGTGGACTGTACTGATTATACGTGCATTTTAATGATTGAAGAACACTCAGCTGTGTGACTCAAATATGTGTTAGCACATAATGTGCAAATCAAATTTACATTTTTATATTTTTAATAGCTTTAATTCAAGCTTTCA